GGGTGGTGCTGATTCCAGCTACCGCCGTGTTGCTGTTGCGTCCTGTTTTTTCTTGATGCTTCAAGCACGCTACCCTGATGTCGAATTCTTTTTCCCTCTCATTTTTGGCCCTTTCTAGGTAGTCTTGCAGCCAGGCCAAGGGGGACTCCTCCTGTTCGTTTGATTTGGGAGGTATGTCGGTTTTGGTGGGGGATATATCCATGCTTGCCTGCTCTGTCCCAGCCTTCACTGCCTGTGTGTCGCGTGAGTCCAGGGATGGATTTGCTTCGTCTGACGTGCCGCATTTTCTGGATTTCTTTCCGCTTGGTCTTGCGTCGGTGTCTTTCTGGGGGGAAGTCTTTGGGGAAAGTTGTCTCTTGTGGGGGGGTTCAATCTGCTGCTGCCGTCCCTCCATGATTCCTTTCGCTTCAGCTAGGATTCTTTCCTCCTCTTCCTGTTTGGCTAGAGAGTCTGCGGTTTGCTCTCTAATTGAGTCAAGTATCCACATCAGATCTTCGTGCTTTTTCTCTTCCTTGACAGCACGGGAGTCAATCACCGGGTCGGCATGAATTTTTCCTGGGATCCCCGTGATTTTTTTTGCCCCCACGCGGTGCCATTTGCTGTCGGAGGGGGGGGAAATGTCTGGTTGTTTGACTGTTGCTGTTTTGTCCGCGTACGTCCATATCCACTTTGGTTCAGGGATGTTGTCGTCGAAGACCCAGCCATCGTAGTCTGGGTCGTTCACAAACCAGATTCCTTTCACTTCTTCTACTTCTAGCAGCATGTTTTGTCTGAGCTTCTTCTGATCAGGGGAGCGGGGGCATTTGGGATTTGTACCCAAATGCCCTCTCTGTTTGCATCTGAAACAGATTGGCGACGTCTTGGTGGAGACGTCCACTTCAGTAACTCTGCCATTGATGACAAATTGCCAGACCTCGGGGAAGGCTGGGGGGTCATCGGTCAGGACTTCCAAGATTGCTGTGACGGAATCGATGTGGGGGTGGAGGAAGTCGGGGGTGGGAAGGACCCACTTCACTACTTTGTTTGCCGGGTATTCATTCTCTACTCGATCCTTAGTGAGAGGGTGGCCTCTGGGTGGAATGTTGTCGAATTGGACCCAGAATTGCTCCCTCAACAGTCGGTTCTTGTAGGAGGCGGCCGGCGAGACTTCCGTTGGGCCGTCTCTGCCTTCCATCTTGATAGTGTGCAGACAGATCCCTGGCAGTTCAAGGTCTCACATTTTTCCAATAGGTGTGTTGCCTGCTCAGCATCTTTGAAAACAACGATCATCGAGGTTCTACCCAGGCCGAGCATGGCAAATTTGTCCACATTCGTTTTGATGTTTTCGTGTTGCTGGATGGTTTTTACCATCCATTTCCTTTTCTCGATTGGGGACAGTCTCGCTCCAGTATTGGAGAAGGAGAAGATGAGTGCGTGCTTCTCGTAAGTCACGTTCGTGTCTGCGATTTTGTCTTTTGGGTAAGCCCAGGCGGTCACCTCTTCGTCTGTGTTGTCCTTGCAGTTCCTGACTTTGATTGTGACTTTCTCGCCCTTGATTTTTGGGGCCTCCATTAGGAATCGCAGGGTCTCGTGGTCCACGTTGGATCCAGTTTGGGTTGAGCTGCATGGGGGGGATGTGCTCGTAGCCGCTGCTGCGCTGTAGAGGCAGTGGTATGTTTGAACCATGTTTGCAGTGGTGTGTTGCTGTGTCCTCGGTTTTTTTTTTTTTTTTTTTTTTTTTTTTTTAGGTCTACGCGCGCTGCTTAGTTACCTTTTTTGTTTTTTTATTTTCTGATTATTATGTCTTGGTTGGTACAGTTGCTTGTTGTTGTGCAGCGAACTGATTGGTTGCAAAACCTAGATCTTGAGTTGCATTAGCTAGCTTTAGAACGCAGATCTAGTCTTTCGTGTCGCCTATGTCTGTCTTTCCATCTTGTTTTCCCTTTATTGTGAGATTGATGTGAGCTCTACTGTGTTTTTGTTATTTTTAAGTT